AAATAAAAAATACTCAACACAACTAAAGACACAAAGAACAACCCCTGGAATTTCCAGAACATATCCTAAGAGCATGATACCATCCAGTTGAGAACCACTGTGCTACAATCCCACCCTTTCCCTTCCACTTCACAGAAATGAGTCTCTCTCCCCCTTTATTAAAAAAGCCTCCCTCTCAGTCACTAACCTGTGTTAATCTTTCATTTCCATCAATAAATCTACATATATAAGGATGAAAGACTTCCAAAGAGCACAAATGAATGAACACTTGTTCAAACTCATCTGGATTTACCTTACGTCTTCGACATGGGCATTATTGGTTACAGATTCAGTTTCCACTGCCCCTCTTCCTTCCTAAAGAATTTCACTGTGTTCATGAATTTATTCCTCCCCAATGTGTTTAGGTTAAAATGATCCTGTTTGGCCTAAGGCAACCAACACCCAACATTCCCCTGACAATTGCTACTGGGTCGGGCAGATAAGACACCTGACCCAAGTTGGTCCAATCAGACCTGACAGAAGAATATAAATCAAGCATGGGAGTTTTGTCCTCTCCTCTTGTCCCAGTGAATGCTATTCACATTTATCTTGCAGCCTTAAAAAGAAACCAACAATGCCAAGAAAAGCCACATTCTTTCTTATGCTGTTGATCTGATGAATCAATGAGCGAAGCACCCATCCTTTCTCTGGGCTTAGTGAGATATTCTCCTTAGTATTTAACAATTGAGTTTCCCTAGCTGAAAGCATCCAGACATGGCCTGAAACCTTCCTACATTTTTTTCTCCCCTACCCTTTTCTTCTCTCCTCCACCCATGGTGCAAGGGATCAAACCCAAAGCCTTTTGCATGTGCTCTACCTACACTCACTACACCCAAGGACCTTATCTCTTAACTCTAAATGCTGCTTTCTGTCCACTTCTCTAAAGTTATGTCTCTGTGCCCGGTCTCCCCTCTTCTTTCACTGAATCCTTGCATTTGAGGATCCTCCAAAGTTTGCTATTTTACATTCAAATGACATGTTCACCTGGAATGACTTCAGCTTATTATCACTTTTCCTTTCACATATCAAACTGAGCGACCAGCACTTCCCTCAACAGAGTATCACTACTGATACACCCAAGGGTCATTGACCCAACAAATTCCTATCTTTCAAAACTAAATTTAAGTCTCTCCTCTGTGAAACGTTCCCTGAAGTCTTCAGGGGTTATCTTTTTTGTCTTTTTGAGACAGGGTCTCCCTGTAGCCCCCACTGTTCTGGAACTCACTATGTAGACCAGGCTGGCCTTGAACTCACAGAGATCCACCTGCCTCTGCCTCCCAAGTGCTGGGATTAAAGGTGTGCACCACCACGCCCAGCTTTTTTTGTTTTTGTTTTTTTTTTTTGTCCTTTTTGTGACATAGATCCTCCTCAAAATGATTCCAGCTGTATAAAGTAATTGTAAGAATTTTTTTTTGAAACAGGGTCTCACTATGTATGTAGCCTTAGGTGGCCTGGAGCTCACTATGTAGACCAGGCTGGCCTCAAACTAATCGATCCACACCTGACTCTGCTGGGATTAAAGGTGTGCACCACCACGTTCAGCTATAAGTAAACCCAAATTTGATGCTTATCAGTCTATTAAGTAAAGAGATCTCACACAAGATCCCATAACTACCACAATTTTGAAGTAGTGATGAGCATAAATGGTACTCTGAGATCTGCAACAACTGTAGTGTGATGTGAAAATGTGACTTGCAGAGCTGGGCTTGGTGGCACACACCGTCAATCCCAGCACTTGGGAGGCAGAGGCAGGAGGCTCTCTGTGAGTTCAAGGTCAGCCTGGTCTACATAGTGAGTTCCAGGACAGCTAGGACTTCAGGGAGACCCTGTCTCAAAAAGACAGAGAAAAAGAGAGAGAGAAAGAGAAAGAGAAAGAGAAAGAGAGAGAAGAAAGAAAGAAAGAAAGAAAGAAAGAAAGAAAGAAAAAGGAGAAAGAAAAGAAAAAGAAAATGTGACTTGCATTGGTAGTGTGACTTCTGTTGGTGACAGGTACTGCTAATACTACTGCCTTTTGTTGCCTGAGGAGCTTGTTAAGTTAATAACCTCCAATTCACTGCACTTCCTCATATCCATGCCCTTGTATAAGACCTCTACCATATCACTTCCAGGGGTGGACAGCCATCAGCAAATGTGATAGGCATGCATTAAGACCTGCCCTCCTGAAACCCAGTGACCATCAAAGAAGCCGAAAGTAGGCACATGGAAGGCCACAAAGCCCCCTCGGGGGAGTGTGCCCACCTTTAGCCAAGCCACCAGTTCCTTTCAGCCACTGGGGGAAACCAGGATAAATTCCCAGACAATTCGCAGATTACTGAGACAGAATAACTCTGTTTTAAGGCACTGTTTTGCAGCAGTAACAATTCTCTTCCTAAGGGTTTTGGGACTTTGAGAACTCTACAATCTCTCAGAGAGACTCAGGGAGAGAGCCCAAACTTAAGAACTTCCTGGTTATAGACCCAGCCCTATACTGACACCCACACAGGTAAGTTGATCATATCCTTTATGACTATAATCTTAACACAGCCGAGCTGTAGCACATTAATCTGTGAAATGAAGGCAAGTTGCTTATAGGCGCTGTATTCCTGACTAAAGTGTGAGCTGCCTGAAAATAAGCAAAAGCAAACATTTAGACACTTCTATACACCAAAGCCTTCTCCAAGAGTTTTACACATACCAATTCGCTCCTTGTAACAACTAATCTATTTCATAGAAGCTACTGCCCTAATTTGACCATTAGAAAAAATAGGCATAAAAACCATAAAAACGTTAACCGACTTGTCACATCATTATCACATAACTAGGACATGGCAATGCCACAGCACTGAAAGACAGAATCCATAATCTGAGTTTTGAGCCTTTACTGTGTCCAAAATATACTGTAGTTGCAGAAAAACTTTAAATGGGTACCACAATTTTGAGATTTCATTCCCACTCTTTCGTGGGCATTATTTCTTGGAGACCCAATTTTGTATATTAATTTCTGGTAGCCTGTGATTTTTCTATGACAAAATATAATTGAATTTTAAGAAAGTAAAATAACTTTCCACCAAAACACAATTTTTGAATGTCTTCACTGTAAAAGTCTTTCTTTCGGGGAACAAGAGTTAAAACAAAAAACCCTGTAAGAAGGTGTGGCATGGGGCCAACAGTTGGAAGGAGGAGGTAGAGGCAGGCGGATCTCTGAGTTCGTGGCCAGCCTGGTCTACATAACGAGTTTCGGGCTAGCCAGACCTTACATCAAAAAGCCAAAACAAAAAAAGGGGGGGAGTCGACTTGTTCATACTAAAGTTCACTGGAAAGTAAAACTCCAGTTTCCCCCCAAAGCAGCTAGTCCCACGTCAGCCTCCCTGACATCCTCCGAAACGGACCCTCCCCCCCACCCCCACATTCCGGTTCTCAAACGTGACAGCACCAAGCAACCAAAGCCAGGAACCCTGCAGTGCCCAGACCTGGCCTCAACCTACTCACGACCCCAAAAGGGCATCAGCCCGGGAAGTGGGTACGATAGAGGCATTTTAACTTTTCGAAATGTTTTATTCTCGAAAGACCGACTCAAGGGGCTGACCCCACCCATCCTAGGATTTCACGCCTCTGCCTCGCAGGTGCTGGCCCCAACCAGACCAGTGAATGAACCCCAAGTCCCGGACGCAGCCCGGAGACAGAAAAAGCCTGGGGGCGAGCCGGGTCTGGTCCCCGGAAAGTCCCCACGGGAGCGTGGGGAGGTCTCCGGGCAGCCGAAAGGGGGCGATGACAGCTGTGACCCGTCTCCACGCTCTCACCTTGAACATGTCGCTGGCAGCCGCGGCTCCCGCAGGGTGACCCCGCCTTCAGCCCCGCCCACTACAGAAAGTCGACTACGGAGGCCGAATTAGGTCCTGATTCCTTCCAGCGCGAGCGCACTGAGCCCCGCAAGCTAATTCTCCCGCCAACTCAAGATGACGTCACAACACGTGCTGGCACTGGGGCGTTGCCTAGCAACGGAGAAGCGCGCGCCGATCTCGTGCCTCAAACCACGCCTACTAGGAGGTCCCGCCTCCGCGTCTGACTGTTGCTAAGGAAAAAGCTAACGCACAGAGAGGGCGGCGTGCGGTGAGTAGAGGAGGGCGGTTCCTAGCTGGCGCCCAGCCGGGCCGGGAACCGGCTTTCCCTTCCACCATTGGGCGCCCAGCGTCGCGGGATGAGAATCCTATGAACTGTGGCGGCCGGACGGTGGCGCCCGACGGAACTCGGGAGGCTGCACCTGCCTCGCACCGAGAAGAAGCGGGAGCGGATCGATCAGTGAGCTTCGATTTTCCTCAGAAAAAGGTTTTTTTTTAAAGAATTTACCGTGTGCGAAACGTTTCTTAAATTTTAAGTATAAACTAAATTTACCACTCCATCTAATATCGAAAGGTTCTGGCTTTTTTTTTTTCTTTTTAAGCTATAAAACTTGTAAATCTAGTGAGAATTAGATGTGTCCCACGTAATACTTGTAGAAGAGTGGCAAAAACAATTCTTTTCCTCAAGAAAAACAAGCGTTAAAACGGCGTTCTGCGCTCGCCACCCGTTTAAAGAGCTTTATTTTATTCCTTCAGCCCAGGTAGATGGGCACGATTTTTATTCGCAATTGTACGAGGCTGAAAAAAATTGAAAGGCTAGGATCCAAAGACACGTAGTCTGCTTTTGAAATCTGTGGGCTATCCTAAGCTAAATACACCTAAAGACGGTGTATTTCATCTTTTATTCTGTATTTCTGCCCTAACCCGACAAAAAGCAGATGCCATGATCTTGGAAACTGGACAGCAGAATATTACTGTCCCCTTAGCCAAAGACCTGTTGTAGAAGAAATTGAGTTTCTTCGTTGCTGCAAGAAAAACACACATCTGGAGAAAACTGGGACATTTCGATCCCAGAGCGTTCGATTTTCGTAGTATTGGGGCTTTGATTTGGTCATTTGGGGTCAAATTCAAAAAGCAGGAGTTTGCGATGTCAAGGAAAAAACGGGGTAGGGGGGACACGAAGGTGCAGCAGAGTGTCAGACCAGCTCCCAAATGTTAAGGACCTCTTTTTTTTCCCCCTTCTCAACAGAATTGTATGCTCCAAGCCATCCCCCATCTCCAATCCCTAAGGAGAAATATTGAATAGACTCTTCAGGCTCGGCATCAGTAAGGTAACCTCCCAAAAATGTGAAGCACACAAATACATTAGAGGCAGAAGTTCTCCACGACTGCAGGGGGTGGCTGTGAAGGGAGAAAAATGACTTCACTTTCTCTAACCTCTGTCTGAACTTTAGCATTTCTCTCAAGTACAGTGTAGGCAACAAAGCACGGTATTAACAGTACCTGGGGCTCTGTCACCAATAGAAAGCCACAGATACTGTCATACCCTTTACAGTTATAGCAGATAGCTAAAAATACCATTTATGCTCATCACTATGAACGTACAGTAATTATATTTTTTTACTGTATGCACAAAGAAGACACTCATGACTGATTTTGTTTTAAAGCTGTTTTAAAGATATCACTAGGAATTTGGGCGCTACATCTAAATCTCAATAATGCTTCAAACAATCAAATCTTAGAGGCAGAATCAGGTAATTTTGTACACACTTGCTCACATTACCAAGGGGAAATCAAACCACGGAGAGGTTAAGTAATTTGCTCAAAGTATCACAGCTATTTGATAAAAATTGGGACAAAAACTCTACAGACAGATGAGTAAAAACCCTCCACTGGACTAAACACTGGGGAATCCACAACTTAGCAAAGTACCTCCTGCCGTCCAGAAGTTTGACAGGCTAATAATGGGAGCAGATCATTGAATTGTTGCTCTAAATTTAACTTCCAAACCCAGGTGTGATGGCACACATCCCAGCACATGGGAAGGGGAGGCAGGAAAATCAGTTCAAGGCCAGCCTTACCTTAGAGCTCAGCCTTGGCTACATGAGATCCTGTCTCACAAAATGAAAGAAACCAGGCACACGTGTAGGGCACATGCACACATGAAATGCGCATACAATCATGCAGGCAAAACACTCATAAACATAAAATAAAACTAAATAAATCTCTGTTGGTCGTGGTGGAGCACACCTTTGATCCCAACACTTGGGAAGCAGAGACAGGTAGATCTCCATGAGTTAGAGGTTGGCCTGATCTACTAGTCAGGGCTACATAACGAGACTCAAAAAATCAAAACAAGCTGGGCATGGTGGTGAACGCCTTTAGTCCCAGCACTAGGGAGGCAGAGGCAGGCAGATCTCTGTGAGTTCGAGGCCAGCTGAGGCTACAGGGAGACCCTGTCTCAAAAAGACAAAAAAAAAAGAAATAAATAAAATCAAAACAGAAAAGGAAGGCAGGAAGGGAAGATAGTTAACTTCTGCTGTAGGGTGATAGATGAATAGGAGGAAAAAAGATCAGAGAAAAGGCAACCAGTTAGAAGGTTATGGATAGGTCCACTTGTCTTACATACCATATAATATTTTTTAGGGCACAAAGAACATAAACTGTAAGCAACACTGAAAGATCTACAGTGCCTTCTTTTTTAAAGGGTTCTAAAATTAACAGAACATAAGCATTTGAGTCTAGTCCAAGTGGTGTAATAATACGGATTATTGCGTTAAAAGCTTAATTTGTGTGTGTGAAGATTACTTCTTTGTAGGGAAAATGAAAAAGTCCTCAAATGCAACAGATATTGGTGCTCCAAATAGTCAACATGCAGGAAAATTCCACAAGACACTTTTGGCACGTATTGCAGAGATAAAGGCCAGAAAAGAGTAAGAATCCCCCCTTTTGCCTGTATTCTTTTCTACAAGTATGACAATTTACGGACTTCCCTAAGTTTACCCAGATTAAACACTACTTATGGTGTCAGTTTGAATTTGGATGCGTTTTTTTTAATTACCTTCAAGTTGAATATTGTAATTTTAGGATTTTCTAATTTACAAAGCATGTTAACACATCTGTTTGATAACACTACAACCTTGTGAGATGGTGTCATTTCTGCACATTAGAAGTGAGAAAGAAGCAAACTGAGAAGTTAAGGAACTCAGAGAAAGTGAACCCCACGAGTAGATGGCATCAGCTAGAATTCAAATGAGTTTTATTTCCATACTTAGCCTTTTTTGGGTTTTTTGGTTTTGGTTGTTTTTGAGACTGGGTCTCCCTGTAGTCCCAGCTGAATTGGAACTCACTATGTAGACCAGACTGGCCTCCATCTCACAGAAATCCACTTGCCTCTGCCTCCCAAGTGCTGGGATTAAAGGTGTGCACCCCCACACCTGGCTTCTTTTCTATTTTTTAATATGTGTTCCTGAGGGTGTGTGTGTGTGTGTGTGTATGTTTGTGTGTGTGTATGTTTGTGTGTGTGTAAGCTATGGGACAACCTTGGGTGTCATCTTCCAGAATACCATCCACCTCCTTTGACAGGGCTTTCATTAGCCTAGAGTTTACCAATTAGGCCAACCCAGCTAGCCAGCAAGCCCCAGGGATCACTCCTGTCTCTACCTCCCTAGCACTGGGATTACAAGCACAAGATGCCACTCTAGGAATTTTTATGTGGGTTCTGAGGATCAAACTCAGGTCCTTATGCTTACAGGGCAAGCATTTTTACCAACCGAGCTATCCTCGGCCCCCACACCTCAGGCCTTTTGGTCTGTACATCTTGTAGCCCACATTTTGCCAGCCAGTGGTAACATTGTACAGGAGTACCTTTCTTCCCATGCAGCCCTAGGAAATATAAGGACAGGATTAGAGCGTACGGGAGACGGAGACTTGCAAATCTGCAAGTGCTAGGATATGGCCAAAAGTAGAATAATTCTCTGACCTCACTGGAATTAACCTGGTTTAAGCAAAAATCAGAGAAGTTCGTTTCTTTTTCTAGGTCTTAGTCATAAGCCCCCAGAAGAGAATCAGGCCTCTTGTAAAAATCAGTTTTTCCAGCCTGGCGAGGTGGCACATGCCTTTAATCCCAGTACTCAGGAGGCAGAGGCAGGTGGATCTCTGTGAGTTCGAGGCCAGCCTGGTCTATATCGTGAGTGCCAGGCCAGCTGAGTGGGGCTACCAGGGAGACCCTGTCTCAAAAAGACCAAAAAAAAATCAGCTATTCCAGGTTTTCATTGCCCCAGTCAGTATTTTTTTAATATTTTATTTATTATTTTACTTTATGTGTATGAGTGTAGTACCTGCATGTATGTTAAGTGCACCTCTGTCATGCATTACCCATGGGGGTCAGAAGAGGAGGTCAGATTCTCTAGAACTGGAGTTACAGACAGTTGTTATCTGCCATGTGGGTGCAGGAAACCGAACCCAGGTCCTCTGCAAGAGCAGCCAGTGCTCTTAACCACTGAGCCATCTCTCCAGCCCCTATTAGTCAGTATTTTAAGAACTAGCCAACTATAAAGAGGTGTGCTAGTATATACCTGTAATCCTAGCACTCAGGAGCCTGAGGCAGGAGGATCTTGAGTCTGAGGCCACCCTGGGCTACATACCAAGTTCCAGGCCAGCCTGGGATACATAGACTCTCTGTCTCTGTCTCTCTCTCTCTCTGTCTCTCTCTCTCTCTCTCTCTCTCTCTCTCTCTCTCTCTCTCTCTCTCATCTCCATCTCTAGCACCACATAAAAACAGGCATGTCAGCATATACCTGTAATCCTAGCACTCAGGAGTTAGAGACACAAGGACCAGAAGTTTAAGGACATCCCAAGCTACATATCCAGGTTTTTGGGTTGTTTGTTTGTTTGTTTGTTTTTTGTCTGTTTGAGACAGGGTCTCCCTGTAGCCCCAGCTGTCCTGGAACTATGTAGCCCAGGCTGGCCTTGAGCTCACAGAGATCCGCCTGCCTCTTCCTTCCAAGTGCTGGGATTTAAGACGTGTGCCACCACGCCCGGCCCATATCCAGGTTTTTGAAACCAGAAAGAAATAAGGAAAGAAAAGGAGTGAGACAGAGCGAAAGAAAAGAGAAAGGGAAAGAGGCTCACATGCTAGGAAAGTGTTCCACCACTGAACTGCATCCTCAGCCCAATTTACCCTGTCTCATTTGGGGAGGGCTTGGTGGCACTTAGGAGGCACAGGCAGGCAATCACTGCCAGAATCATGCCAGAAGGGTCTACATAGTGAGCTCCAGGCTAGCTGGGGCTACAAGGAGACCCTGTCTCAAAAATAAGAAATAAAGATAGAGAAAACGAGAGACAGGAAGGAAGGAAAGACGGACAAAAAGAAAGAAAAGAGTCTCACACATGCTAGGCAAGTGTTGTACCACTGAATTGAACCCTCAGCCCAATTTACCCTGAGAAAAGGAAGGAGGGAGGGAGGGAGGGAGGGAGGGAGGGAGTCTCACATACTAGCAAGTGTTGTACCACTGAACTGCATCCTCAACCCAGTTTACATTGTTTCAAAAGAAAGAAAGAAATACAGAAAAAAAGAAAGAAGAAAAAAGCAAGCCTTTCCCAAATGCTAGGCAAGTGTTCTACCATTGATCTGCATCCTCAATCCTCAGCCCAATTTACCCTCTCTCAGAGAGAGACAGAGACAAGAGACAAGAGAGGGGCTGGAGAGATGGCTCAGTGGTTAAGAGCACTGGCTACTCTTGCAGAGGACCCAGGTTCCATTCCCAGGACCCACATAGCAGCTCACAACTGACTGTAACTCCAGTTCTTCTGGCCTCTGCCAGTGTTGCACAACATGTGTGCACTTACATACATGCAGGCAAAACACTCGTATACATAAAATTAGAGAGAAAGAAGGAAAGAGGAAGAAAGGAAGCAGAGTCTCCCACATGCTAGGCATGTGTTCTACCACTCAGTTGCATCTTTAGCACAATTTACCCTGTCTCAGGAAAGGAGGAACGGAGGGACGGACGGAAGAAATCACACTGTTTATGCTCTCCTTCCTTTCTCCTCTCCCTTTCTCTCCCTCCCTCCCTCTCTTTTCCTCCTTCTTCCTCCCTTCCTCCTTTCCCTGTTCTTTAAACCCCACTCTGGAGTTTGAGACAGGAGGCTTGACTGTTCAAGGACACCTAGGTCATAGTTGGACCCTGTCTGAAAGTGTTCTACCACTGAGCTGTACCCTCAACCCAATTTACTCTGTGTCAAAAAAGAAAGATAGATGGACTGGAGAGATGGCTCAGCAGTTAAGAGCACTGGTTGCTCTTGCAGAGGACCCAGGTTCTATTCCCAGCACCCACATAGTGGTTAACAACTGTCCTTAACTCCAGTTCCAGAAGATCTGACACTCTCTTCTGACCTCCGTGGACATTGCACTATACGGGTGCACTTACACACATGCAGGCAATACACTCATACACATAAAATAAAAATAATAAATAAAATATATATTCCTTTTTTGTTTTTGTTGTTTGTTTGTTTGTTGTTTTACTTTTTTAGATGGCCCAGGCTGGCCTCAGACTCACTATGTATTTTAGGATGGTCTTGAACTCTTGATTCTTTTGCCTCCACTTCCTAAGTGCTGGGATTCTAAGCATGTGTCAGCATACCTGGCATTATATATGCCTCTTGGTAAAGTTTTAGCTGGGATTTTTTTTAAATCTCAAAGGCAATGTTGAATATTTCATATCTTCATTCTGATTAGAGTCTGCAGATGACCAGTTCTCATTACTACATCCAAACGCTCCTCATTAGGCCACTTTTAGTCCTGGGGAAATATAAGAGGATGCGCAAATTGAGAGTTGCCTAAGATTTCAGGAAAATGAAAACAACTTCATAAATATTAATCTCGTTTTCTTCTGATAATTTAATAGAGAAATTTCAGCAATAAAAATTCAGAGAGCTTGGTTCATTTATGTGGACAAAACGCTATTTCAACTCTTAAAACACACCGTTTGTGCAGCGGTATGTATTTCTGTTTTCTCTGACAGATTTAATTATCAAGTTGAAAGAGCTGTTAATTAAATAGAATATATAACCCTCTATCTCTTCTACTTAAGTATAAAAATATTATATAAAGTCAAATAATTGATTTTTGTTAATTCTATGGATATTTCTGAATTTATTTTTAACAGGGATAATTATTACCTTTCTGAAATGACTATACAGTTATGTTTTGGTTTTTGAAATTTTCATTCATTTGAAGATATGAAACAATGACCTTCCAATAATAGAAATCTGTGAATTAAGAATTAAGAGTGTAGGGGCTGGAGAGATGGCTCAACGGTTAAGAACACTGACTGTTCTTGCAGAAGACACGGGTTTGAATCCCAGCACCCATGTGGCAGCTAACAACTGCCCGTAACTCCAGTTTCAGGGGATCCGAAAGCCTCTTCTGTCCTGTGCGGGCATTGCACGACACAGGTGCACTTGCCTACATGCAGGCATAACACTCATACACATAAAATAAAAATAATGAATGAACTATTTTAAAAAAGGAGTATAGCTGCATGGAAAAATGTGTATTCAATATATGTGAGCACCTGTATTTGATCTTCAGCACTACAAAAAATAAAATCTCTGAATTGAAAAATGCCCTTGCATTCTACTCAACAATTTCACTTCAGAGAGTGCATTCTATAATTTCATTTCAGCACTGATTCATAGTACCAAATAAATGTTGCCATTTTCATGTGTAAACCTTGCAATATTAACTTGATTCTGCGATAGAAAGATAAACCAAGATAGTGAAAAGGGCAAATTAAAACAATACGAAGAATATAATCCTATTTGAATAAAATCTCAAAACAGATGTGCACCCTCCCTCCCTCAAAAAGCAGCTCTGGAAACCCCAGGAGAGTATTAATTCTTGCTTAGAAAAATCTAGTATCGGTGATCATCACATGAGGGGAATTTTAGCAGCCCAGAAAAATTATAAAACTGAACAGTGTGTACACTTCTTCATCATATGACCCACAGGGCATTTCTGATGTGAGTAAAAGCACCCAGGGAAGCACTTTGCACTTCAGGCTCATTACAACTGAATTCTCATACAGAACACATTTTAATTACTATATTACTGCTTTCGTCATAATTTTAGAATGTGAACAAAAGAAGTTCTTTTTATTTTTTACGTACATTATCCTAATACTTCAAATTAATACCTTACATTAACAATGCTTTCTTTTGTTAGGATCCCGTTATTGTACATTTCATTTGATTATCACAGGAATAAGGTTCAATGGGATCACTTATGGACAAGAATGGGAATTTTAGTGTCACACAGACCTAATTTTTAGTCCTGGTTTCCTCATTTACTACCTATATACTGTTGTATAAGTTACACAAATTTCCTGAGCCCCAGAGCCCCAACCTTCTCATTTATAAAATGGGAGTGATAATATTCTAAAAATAGTTCTGTTGTAAAGATTAAATGAAACTATATGTATATATATATGAATGAATATGACACCAGCGTAATATGTGGCTAAAGGTGCTTTAAAACTAGTTACTTAATACCATTATTATCCCCATAGTGCAATGATTAATTCAGCATTAAACACTTGTTAGGTTTCTTGTGCATTCCAGGCCCTGTATTAAATGCTAGAAATATAATAGTAAAGCAGAAGGATGCCATCTCTACCTTCATGATACTTTCAGTCTAGTTGGAGACACATAAGTTTATAAATAGAGTAAAACTTGTTGTCATAGGGAAAGAACAATGCCTGTAATCTCAAAGGGATAGATACTCAAATTTGATGACTCAAATAACTTATTCGAGACTACATAGATAAGTGGAGGAGCCAAGGTAGAACACCACCTCTTCAGAACACCAGCCTCCTCTGTGTACTGATCTTTTACCATGCTTCCTTTGTCATAGCCAATAAATTACGTCGGACCAGGGTACCACTTTCTGTTTACAGTGCCATCATCTGTTTCAGGAATATTGTGTGGCACATGAACTACTGAAGAAAGTAAGTCCCACAGAGGCTGCACTTGTTAAAGATCCTACCACGAAGTATAAACTCAGATTCAGGTAATGTGACTATACTGATTTATTTCACAGAGGAGAAATCTTAGAGATGAGACATTTTGTAAATCCTCATTACTTCCAGAACAAAATTACAAAGTAAATGTTTGACCTATTTACATTTGTTATATGAAGAGGCTAAGGTATGACTCTGGCTGAAACCCGCCATGAGGTCTCGTCTCCAATTGTGTCCAGTCTGGCACAGGTATGAGAACAGTTGTGTCTTTCATCTTCTGATCCATTTCTTTACTAGAGCTTTTCTTTATATGCCCTATATTCAAGAAACTATCAGCTGTGTGGAATATATGGGGAAGAAGCAATGGAGCCCCCAAATTGATGCCACATGACTAATTTTTCATCTTTATTGCAGATTTAATGGTGAAAGATTTCCACCTTTCATCGTGTTTAAAATTTTTTTTCAAAATGATGGCCATGGTTCCAAGTATTTCAGCGGGAAAAATTTATTAAAGCCATCAAGTCAGGTGATGTTTCATGATGTATATTTTATATTCATATAGCTTCTTAACATCTATGTGATATCTAAATTGCATTTGATGTGTACAAACTATGTTATTTTATCATTCATCAGCCCACGAAGCAGGTAACTTTCCTTAAGCCCCACAGTTTTGATTGTCTCCACCTATTGGCTAAAATGTAATTTGGAATTAATCACTTACATAAGGCTTCAGAAAAAAAATTATATCGGTTTTCTATGTGTTAAAATCTTTAATTCTGGGGCTGGAGAGATGGCTCAGCGGTTAAGAACACTGGTTGTTCTTGCAGAAGACCCGGGTTCGAATCCCAACACCCACATGGCAGCTAACAACTGTCCGTAACTCCAGTCCCAGGAGATCTGATAGCCTCTTCTGACCTCCTCGGGCGTTGCATGACACAGGTGCACTTACCTACATGCAGGCAATACACACAAAATAAAAATAATTAAAAAAATTTTAAAGTTTTAAAAACTTTAATTCTGCAGAATGTTTCATACAATTTTATTTGTTTTAATGGAGTTCTATTTTCCTTTGATTCTGTAGCATACATAGGAAAAATGTGCTGGATTGTGGTATTGAAAGCATACCTTTAGCTGAGTGGGATGGCACACCTCAATAATCCTCACTCTGGAGTTGAGGCAGGAAGCATGATTGGTCAAGGCCAGGCTAGGCTACAGAGCTGGACTCTGAAAGCAAGGGGAGCTGGCAAGGGAGGAAGAGAACTTTCAATATATTTCTTTTCGACAGGAGTGCTCATCATATTTTTAAGTTTCAGAAATCACCACTAATTGTGTCTAGCATCATAATCACCTGAGGATATTGTTAAAATGCTGTCACTGCTGCTGATCTATGGCCCATACTTGTAAGAGCAAAGATCTGCAGAGGCAGAGATTTCCCTCCTTTGATCCTTACCCTGACTATAATTGAGTTTAAAAGGTGGCCATACCGATATTTTTGCTTTATTAAAGGTTATTTTTCTAAGCTAAGAGTGTAGCTTTTTGGTAGAGCATTTTCTTAGCATATTCAAAGCCCTACACTCAATCCCCAGCAATGCAAAAGGGGGAAAAATCCCCTTTGAAAAATATCTTACACAAAAAATATGACCCATCTGAAATTATGAGTTCTAGAATATGTTTACCCTGGCAGCTTCTCATTAGATCCAGCAAGTGCAGCACTGAGTCTCAGAAGAGTATTAGACAAGAAATGGGCTACTTTGTGTTTTAAGTAATAGTAGAGAAAAATCAACTCCATTTCATAAATGTAGCAAATGAACTAACAAGCTTTTTATTATGCAATGTGGTGCTTCCAAAACATTAATATTGATTCAGTATATAAATAGAAATCAGATGGGAAAGTATATTTTTATCTTAAGCTTGAGGGATAAACTCACACCATATTCATCTGTGTAGTAAGCTGAGGTTGTACCTATTAAATACTATCAATTGTTTCTTTTCTAAGATTATATAATCAAACTTTGCCAGGAACTAAAATACTCCTGAGTCCATTCCAGTCAGCCTTGTATGCTCAGGCTTGCGAAAATGAGGCAGAAAGTCACTAGAAATAAGGGGGCCTGGAGCTCCCTATATAGACCAGGTTAGCCTCAAATTCCCAGTGATTCACCTGCCTCTGCCTGGGATTGGAGGTATGCACCACCAGGCGAAGGCTACTTCATTATTTTTGTTGTTGTTGTTTTATTTGTTTTAGGGTTGTTTTGGGTTCCCTGACCAGGAAACCAAAAATTTCTCTTTAATTTGCGAAGTAAATGCTGGAGAGGGAGGAAATAGCCCATAAATATAAAAAAAGAAAATGTTACTTCCTTTTCCTCCAGAATCCTGAAAAGCTAGCTGCAATCGCGTGCCTTGCTGTGTCTCCATCATCCACCTACCTGAGAACCTACTAGCAGACAGGAGGAAGAAGGCTAGATTTTAGGAATCTAAAATTTTGAGGAAAACTGACAAGATTTGAGGAAAACTGACAGCATTCCTAAATGATGGAAGACTTCATGAAGACCACAGATGACAAAAACATGCGAGTTCAGAGTGTACAGAAGCAGAGATTACCAGTGGGATACAGAGTGCCCCCACCAGCAGAAGAGATGCCCAGGCTGAAGTGCAGAGATTGTGGGGCCTTTGGACACACTGTGAGAAGCAAAAGGTGTCCTATGAAGTGTTGGAAGGGGGCCATGACACCACAAGCTTTGGCCATCAAAAAGGAAAAGGAGAACCAGGACCCAGGGAAGCCCAAGGCTCTCCATGACTCCGGGGCCTTGATCGAGACAGAGAAAGACAAAGAAGAGAGAGAAAGAGTACAGCAGAAGAAGAAAGCTCTCCTCCTCAAATTTCCTAAGAGACCCCAAGAGAAGAAGAACCATTATTGGAAGGATCTGACACAACCTGAAGACTATTCCAGACGTCCGAGGAGACCAGTGTTCGTCCGTGTACACAGGAAATTTGTCCTGAACAACAACACTGATCTATCACCTATCCAGGACCATGATGATAAGGAACCCGTGAGCCATGTAGAATCTCTCAAAGAAGTCCCGGATCATGCCTACTTACCTCTTGAGAAAGATAAATCTCAGAATACGGCTGCCCCTGACACACTACAGTTAGCATCTGAGCAGTGTTGCCAGGACCCAGTTCTCAGTGAGAACTTGACAGATCAAAGCACAGAGTGTTCCCTCCACATGTTTAACAGTCAGTCACCAGCCCAGTATTCTGAAGAGACCGAACAATCCTTCCCGAATTCTGCAGCATGTACAAATGGTCAGGATACTAAACTCAGCCTCAGCATAACAATCAGGAAAAATTTCCAGGTGCCTAACCAGATCTTCCAGAATCCTCCAAAGAAATTGCGACTCGGCCTCTGCCAACCACTACAGAAAAGCAGTGAAATGCCTGCTCTGGAGGCTCCCCTGGCTATGCCATCTCCTTCTAGTCCCACTGGACTTGAATCAAAAGAGTCACCTGAAGTAGCTGATGTTGAACAACAGCCTCCACCCAGCACTCTGGATTCTACCCAGCCTTGCACCGAGTCCGATGATCCGTTGTCCAACCACATTCCAGGCCAACCCCTCAGAATTGTCTTCACTAGAGTAAACGATAATTGCTGGAGCTCCAGGTTATTGGAAGCTCCCTCATCCGAATCTCCTGAGGAGCAAGTATCTCCTGATAACAGCCTGCCCTCCCTGGAGGAACATACTCTCTGGGGCCCAGTGAGGTCTTCATAGTTGACCTTCCAACTGCCTTTGAGGAGAGTAACTGAGACTAAGACACTGATGATAAGAGAGACTCTGTCTCCAGCCACAGGTAACTTGCAGAGGACTATTAGACTGAGGAGAAGAGAACAGAGGAAGCAAACTGAGCCATTAGTACAGTTCCTTTGAATGGTACAGTGTGTCAAACAGTGGGACAGCATCAACTGTGGACAACAGACACAGACACTGACTATTTGAATCACATAAACTGTACTTGAAATGGAACTTACTGAAGTAAAATGTTAATGGGTTTTACATGAAGTGCCTAAGAATTTGAGTTAGCTTATAGTTGTATATAGTCACACATACTGCAAGTAGGAAACTGGAAATAATCTGTGATCGGTGTCCAGATGACTCTATTCATGGAAATTAAACAATCACTGGTACCTGTATCTTTTCATCAGTGTCTTGACCTCAGCGGGGAGCTCTTAACTGTCAGGCGTGTTGGCAGAAACCATTGTGGCCAAAGTTCTCTTGCACTTAGTTATGTTCTTGTTTAATGACCTATAAATATGTTTTCAAAATACATTTCAGTGTTAAAATTCTAGGAACCATGCCAAAGAAAAAAAGAGTGTACCTTTATGCCTTTGTCCAGAGTGCTTCAGCTGTCACTCTCCTGGAGCAATCAGTGCTAATAGTGTATTATGTATGGTTCATTTCCCCCATGAAACAAGATTTTACAACTTTGTTCTTGTTATTAAGATGTTATCGTGCTATTCAGCCTGAATTTTTCACTAAACATTCTAATGGGTTTTTAATGAACAGAACATATCCAACTTGAAGAGAACAGCTTGGGCTGCCCTTGTCCTTTTCCTTCCTCTTCAAAACAAACTGTTCATACATGAATGCGTGGTTGAAAGAAAACTTGCACGAGTAGAATGTTTCTGATTTTAAGCTTACTTAACTCTTTTGCTCTTTGAATAAAGTTGTGTCTTTAACAAAATGATCCAATCTGTTTACTTATTTTGTTTTTTAAAGGCATGGTTTCATGGGGACTGGAGAGATGGCTCAGCAGTTAAGAGCACTTGCTGCTCTTGCAGAGGACCTGGGTTCAGTTCCCAGCACCCACAAGACCACTCACAACCTCCTGTATCTCTAGTTCCAGGGGACCCCATGTCCTGTTCTGGCCTCTGTAGGCATGCACATGGTGCACGTACATATATGCAAGCAAAATATTCATACACATAAAATAGGTCTAAAAAATTAAACATGGGCCTGGAGAGATGGCTCAGCCAGCGGTTAAGAGCACTGGCTGCTCTTGCAGAAGACCCAGGTTCAATTCCCAGCACCCACATGGCAGCTAACAACTGTCCAGTTCCAGGGGGATCTGATGCCCTCTTCTGACCTCTGTGGGCATTGCATGACATGGGTGCACTTAGATATATGCAGGCAATACACTCATATACATAAAATAAAAATAATAAGCCGGGTGTGGTGGCACACGCCTTTAGTCCCAGCACTTGGGAGGCAGAGGCAGGCAGATCTCTGTGAGTTCAAGGCCAGCCTGGTCTACATAGTGAGTTCCAGGACAGGTGGGCTACAGGGAGACCCTGTCTCAAAAAGACCCAAAAAATAAATAAATAAAAATAATAAATACACCAGGCGTGGTAGCGCACTCCTGTAGTCCCAGTACTTGGGAGGCAGAGGCAAGCAGATCTCTGTGAGTTCAAGGCCAGCCTGTTCTACATAGTGAGTTCCAGGACAGCTGGGGCTTACAGGGAAACCCTGCTTCAAAAAGACCAAAAAAAATAATAAATACATTTTTTAATTTAACATTAAAAAGATAGAGTTTTATGTAGCCAAAAATGGCCTTGAACTTCTGATCACCCTGCTTCCACCTCTGTAATTATGGGATTACAGGTGTGTCTGAGTAAAATTAATTATTCCCAGCAAAATTTCCAGTGCAAGCATACCAGTTATCACTACTTTCATGAATGTGACTTCCTAGCAAGGACGGGTAAACTGACTTTGTGATATTAAAGTAACTGTGCAAGCCAAAGTGTTGACCTTGATCAGCAAATCCACATAGGGCTGTAAGGACCTCTTGGTCACAGTAACGCTGAGCATCATGAGAAGTGTTGTGTTTACAGATAGCCCCACCCTTGGCCTAAAATCACTGTAGCTGGCTGGGCATCCTGAAATCTTTGCCTAGGTTATGGGCAACTTTTTTCTCCTGGGGCCTTTTCTTTCACCTTTGCTTCCTGTGAAGACTTTCTAAATCTGTCTATACATGACAGATGTCTGACAAAGAACATCTTGGCCATTGGGCAGCACACTTTTTTCAAACCCCTCTCACAAGGAGACAGAGAGCTTGTTCTCTGCTCCTAGTCAGGGTTTTCTTTGACCAAGGGACTGGAATGGGCCCATTACATCTGAGACACTATATGAATAAAGAAACTGGATCTTGGAGAGATTGGTAGTGGTGGCTGAGTGGAACTGTAGAGGGAGGAACTAATAACAAATACCTTTTCTGGGTAATTTGAGCTAAAGTAAACTGTAATTCTTTCTAAAGAAATTCCTAAAGCAGAAATTACGCAGTTTCCATACCCATTCAGTGTGCAATGATTTGTTTATACCTTTAGTATGATAGAACTGGTTAATTAAAACCCACAAGAAATCAATTGTAAAAAATAAAGCGTATGCCGGGAGTGGTGGCACACCCCTTTAATCCCAGCACCTGGGAGGCAGAGGCAGGTGGATCTTTGTGAGTTCCAGGCCAGCCTGGTCTACATAGTTCCAGGACAGCTGGGGCTATAAGGAGACCCTGTCTCAAAAAGACAAAAAAAAATAAAATAAAGCATAATAGAGAGATGCACCAATATCATCATTTCTTCAGGTGCATAATGAGTAAAAAATTGGCAAAATGGAAATAAAAGGCAAAACTTATCTACCCACAGGAAAGCTGCTCATTTGTTCAGTAAACTGTTCACTTGAGTGCATTAAAAATAAAATACAAGCCAGGCATGGTGGCATATGCCTTTAATTCCAGCACACAGGAGGTGGAGGCAGGCAGATCTCTGTGAGATATGGGCCAGCCTGGTCTACATTGTGAGTTCCAGGGATATTCCATCTCAGAAAAAGAAAAATAAATAAATAATAAATACAACCACTGGAATAGTTTCTTTCCCTTATTTTCCATGTGTCTCCAAACCTTTGGAATTTAGACACTATAAAAGGCATACTCTGGACAATAAAAATGAGAATTGGAGGGGCTCGAGAGATGGCTCAGCAATTTAAAGCACTGGTTGCTCTTGCAGAGGACCTGGTTCTGTTCCCAACACCTATATGGTGGCTAACAACATGTGTAACTCCAGTTCCAGAGAATCCAAAGCCCACTTCTGGCCTCCATGGGCATTGCATGCACTTGATCCACTTACATACATGCAGACAAAATATTCAAACACATTAATGAGAATTGGAGTAGAAAATATGCAAGGGCTAGCTGCTGTGTTGTGTGTTAAATTAAAAGAACAGAAGTTCTAGAGCGATTTTCTTGATCCTAGAGCTTTGTGCATGTTAGGCAAGCACTCTAACATCCCCAACCCTCAGAGAAACTTTTTTAGAGACAATGTCTCACTCTGTAGCCTTGGCTGGTGTAGAGCTCACTATGGAGACCAGGCTGGTCTTGGACTCACAGAGATCCTCCTACCTCTGCCTCCCATGTACTAGGATTAAAGCTGTGTGCCATCATGCCCAAAGATCTGTGTTTTGATCCTGCCCCAAACACTATTATGGCCTCCTAAGCATTAAAACAGAGGTCCTGTCCTTTCACAAATAGCACATTCTAAGGTACAAAGGGAAAGAAAAACTGATCTAGAATCAAAGGATACTTGATTTTTTTATACCAGCCTCCCCCCACATTTTTGTGGTCAGAAGCACAGATCCATATCATAACTATGTTAGAAGAGTCAGGACATATTTATGGGGGATTGGAAGTAGTTAAGTCTCTCCTACCGGTATGTATAGCTATTAGCAGAAGGATAGGTTTATATGGAAGGATATGGTGTGAGTAGACCCAGACAATATTCGAGTCACCGTGTTTTCTGTGATTTTTCTCTCTGAGCTCTCAAATACTTTCCTTGGATATAAACTGTTAACATTTTAGAAAGAAAGAAAAATCCTTTATTTCATTCTCTTTGATTACTGAAAATGAACTCTGAAGGAGAGGGAGATCTAAGCAACGTGACACATACATATTTCCATTTGGAAGGGATAAATTAACTAACACGGAAAAGAGAGACAGTTCCAGTAACACATTTCATTCTAGTTCCTAGGGCAACCTGTTTAACCACCAGGTAAGTTTTTTTTCTGAATTGACAGTACAAATGAGAGTATAACTTCCATTTTTTAATGAAAATATTTTTAAAAAGAAAAACAGAACTTAAAAATCTATAATCCAGGGGACTGGGGAGATGGCTCAGTGGTTAAGAGCACTGGCTGCTCTTCAGAGGACCCCAGTTAGGTTCCTAGCACCCGCATAGCAGCTAATAACTATCCGTGACTCTAGTTCCAGGGGATCTAATACCTTCTTCTGGCCTCTGTGGACATTGCAAGACATGGATGCACTTACATACATGCAGGCAAAACACTCATACACATAAAATACAAATAAATATTTTTTTTTAATTTATAGTTCAGGCTGGAGAGAAGGCTCAGTGGTTAAGATCACGTACTGTTCTCGCACAGGAACTGAATTTGGTTCCTAGTACCTACATCCGGTGGTTCACAACTGCCTGTGACTCCAGCTCCAGGGGATCCAATGCCCTCTTCTGGCCTCTGCAGACACTCTATTCATGGACATAATCACACACATATACATATAATTAAGTCTAAAAAATCTTTTTTAAAAACTTATGGTTTTTCTGAAGATTGTGAACTCAACTATAATGGTAGTGATATTTTAAAACTGTACAGTGATGGCTATGGGAATAAATTTCAAGTGGTTTAAAATCCTTATATAAGGGCTGGCGAGACGACTCAGTGGACAAAGACCTCGCTGCTCTTCCAAAGGGTCCAAGTTTAGTTCCCCTATCAGGTGGATCATAACTGCCTGTAACTCCAGATCCAGGGGATCTGATGCTCTCTTCTGACCTCCACAGGCACCTGCACACACGGCATACACTTATACAGACATGTACACATAAAATAAAAATCCCTATGTAAGCCAGACATGGAGATCCATGCCTATAATCCCATTGCTTGGGAGGTGGGACCAGGAAAATAAATTCAAGGTCATCTTTGACTACATAGTGAGTTCAAGGCCAGTCGGGGCTATGTGAGACCCTTTCCTAAAACAAAGCAAAATTCCTATATAGTTAGGCACAGTTCCTGTCCAGCCTGGACTACAGAGTGAGACCTGTTAGCGCCTTCTCCCTACCCCAAATAAGCTATATAATTTTCTTCTTATAAGTGCAGCTTTTCTATTAATAGCACAATCCTAAGAGAGGGGAACAATATTTGCTATATTTGTCAGAAAATATGTAAAGTGTGTGTTGATGATTAAAAGTATTATACTATTTTGGGCCAACAAAATGGCTCAGTAGGTAAAGGTGCTTGTCACCAAGCCAGAGGACCTGAGTTCAATCCCCAGAACCTCCAGGGTAGAAGGAGAGAAACTGACTCTTGCAAGTTGTTTTCTGACCTCCACATGAGGGCTCCCCCAAATAAATAATGAAATATAATTTTAAAAAGGGAGAAAATGTGTTATACTATTTTGAAATTTTTTCACTATCTTTATAGGCAGTGACTGATGCTTGCAGGATGATGGGAAAAAGGATATTTTATCAACAAATTATGGAAGATGAGCGTTTTTTCCAGAAGTTCAAAGTAACTGATCATATGGATATTGTCACAGTGCAAGATTACATGCAAGTAAGGAATTTCAATGTGAATGTTGAAATATCAAACAAAAAAGGCCTTCTTGACCCTATCCTCCAAGAAGAAATAATCATACTTTTTTTGTAGTAAAACAAACACAACATAAAATTTACCATTTGGGGCACTGGAGGGATAGCTCAGCAGTTAAGAGCACTTAGTATTCTTCCAGAGGACCTGAGTTCAGTTCCTAGCATCCATATGAACAACTCACAACTGCATGTAACTCTAGCTCTAGGGGATCCAATGCCCTCTTCTGGCCTCTGAGGGTATGGCATGCACACACACACACACACACACACACACACACACATGCACACACGCACACATGCTCGTCTGTGCACGCACATAGATAAAAAATAAAAATCAAGTAAGACATGGTAACACACACCTTTAATCTCAGCAACTCAAGAGGTAGAGGTGATTGGATCTCTGTGAGTTCCAGACCAGTCAGGGCTACATAATAAGACCCTGTCTCAAAAAAAAAATTTTAAGAAAAACAATTTTTAAATTTTTACTTTTTTTTGAGACGGGGTCTCTCTGTAACCCCAGCTAGCCTGGAACTTATTATGTAGACCAGGCTGGTCTTAATCTAGCAGAGATCTGCAGCCTCTGCCACCGGAGTGCTGGCATTAAAGGTGTGTGCTACCATTGCACAGTAGAAAAAAAATTATTTTTGAGACAGAGTCTCCCTGTAGCCCCAAATGGCCTAGAACTCACTATGTAGCTCAGACTGGCCTCAGTGTCACAGAGGTCCACCAGCCTCTGCCTCCTGAGTGCTAGGATTAAAGGCATATGCCACCATACCCAGCAAAAATATTTATTTTCTTAAAAAGAAAAATAATTATTTTGGGAACTGGCAAGATGGCTCAGCAGGTAAAGACACTTGCCACCAAGCCTGACATCCTGGGTTTGACCCCCAGGAACTACATGGTAGAAGGAGATAATTCCACAAATTTATTCTCTGACTTCCACACACATGCTGTGGCACATATGTATGCATGCATACATAAATACATACACGCACAATAAATGAATAAAATGTAGTTTTTCAAAAACTAATGAATAGAGCACACACTAATGCATCTTTCAACTCTTATCAATGAAACTTCCTCATGCAACAGAGGGTAATGAACGCAAAGGGCCACAAATGGCCAAAGCATGGAGAGTAAGAGTCTGCAGAGTGTGGGTCCTTGGACAGGACTCCCATATTAAACTTCAACTACCCAGCACTCAGGGACCATTGTGGAAGCGGGGGCAGGACAATTGTAAGAGCCACGGGAGGAGGTCCATTATCACATCAATATAGAGTCTTACAGGTTCCTGGGACCCTGTGCATATGAATTTACAGCAATGGTGACATCACGCACAAGACCCATGCAAACACAAGCAGACAAAACCCAGCATAGAACTGTGGAAATGGGCAGCAGGCCCCAATCTTAGCTGAAGAACTCGGGCAGCTGATTACTGCTGGGTGAGGAAGAGCTGATCTTTAAGGAAGTGACTCTAGATAGGCTGACTAGATCCCAATGGATGAACATGCACTGAAGGACGTCAGGGGATACTAACTTGACTTGATCAGTCTTAACATAAATGACCTAATGCATGAAATCCAGGTTGGCGGGGGGAGCCAAGGGAGTGTGCTTCCCATGGGGGAAGGGGATGTAAAGATGATTAAGATGTTGCATATGAGATACACAAAAATTCAATTAATATACTTTTTTAAAAACTAATGAGAGGGGCTGGAGAGATGGCTCAATGTTTAAGAGTACTTGCAGCTCTTGCAAAGGACCCAGGTTCAGTTTCCAGCACCCACATGGCAGGTAATAGCTGTTACTCCAGTTCTAGGGGATCCAACACCCTCTTCTGGCCTCCTTGGGCACTCATGACATGGGTGCACTTAAATGCATGCAGGCAAAACATTCACAAACATAAAATAAAAATAAATAAAAAGATAATGAGTGAAGAGATACTTCTGGCCCCAGTATACAGAAAGTATTAGAAAGCAGCAAGAGTCCTCTGTTCAAAGTCTCCTGATTTTCTAGGAGAAATGGTGGTAGCTTGGTTTAGGGCTGTATGTTTGGAGATGCAAGAAATAGAGTCAAAGCAGTGGGCCTGGGTGACAGACAGGGGGAGAAGCAAAAGGAATTTATTTGGCATGACTCCTAGGTTTCTGGTTTGCATAACTGGACAGATAGCAGCACTGAAGTGGAGCACTTAAGCTAGATAACTGAATAATAATAATAATAGTAATAATAATAATAGCAACTGCTTCTCCAACACTGACTCCTATTATTCTCATAATCCAAAGAGGCAGGCATTGTTATTACCCTTATTTCACAACTACTAAAGAACAAGGAGGGGTCTGGAGAGATGCCTCAGTGGTTAAGAGCATTGACTGCTCTTCCAAAGGACCTGGGTTCAGTTTATCAGCACCCACACGGCAGTTAACCACCTTCTGTAATTCCAGATCCAGGGGGCTGGAGAGATAACTCGATGGTTAAGGGCACTCGCTACTCTTGCAGAGGACCTGGGTTTGGTTCCCAGCATCCACATGGCAGCTAAAGAAACATCTGTAGCTCCAGTTCCAGAGGATCCAACACCCTCTTCTGACTTCCTCTGGCATTGTGCAACACAGGTGCACTTACACGCATGCAGGCAATACAGTCATACACATAAAATAATTTTAAAAAATAATAATTTCAGTTTCAGGGAATCAAATGTCCTCTTCTGGCCTTCACAGGCATTGCATGCCTAGGTGCACTTACATACATGCAGGCAAGTCTCTCACACACATAAAATAAAAATAAATATTTTTAATTTTAAAAAGAAATAAGGGTTACCAAGATTTGAACAGCTAATATAATAATAACATATATGGCCTTAGTTTCTCTATTCAGTTTCTCCAGTGTGACATATGAAATTAATCCAGTACAAGATGCTTGATTGTGTTGTCTTTCTTTAAGAGACTTAACATATGAGAGTAGGGAATTGGACCAGGAAATAAATAGAGCCAGAAATGCCAAGTATCTTTGCTAAGGACATGAGTCACAAACTTGCAGATAGTGAATATGTGAAGGATTGGTGTCATAGAGTGGAGTCCCCAAATATTTACACCATAAGGCAGGATAATCTGACTGTAGAAATTTATTAAGGCAGTGCATGACATTTTTTTTATCTTTTTGAGACAGGGTCTCCCTGGAGCCCCAGCTGTCCTGGAACTTATTATGTAGACCAGGCTGGCCTTGAACTCACAGAGATCCACGTGCCTCTGCCTCCCATGTACTGGTATTAAAGGCGTGTGCCACCACGCCCGGCCAGTGGATGACATTTTTAAAAGCTCTGTACAGGTATGTTATCTATTTTACTCATCAAAGTTAGTAAGTATTGGCTGAGACCCTCTTTAATGATGAGAAAAATGAAGCTTTAACAAGTTCAAAAAAATTACCCAAAGTCACACAGTAAATGAGTGGCAGTAGATGATTGGCAGGTCTGAGATTTCCATTCTACTACTCCACTACTGGAAAATGAACTATATAGCTGTCCCCACTGTGCATGGTAGTGTGGGACTGAAAAGATGGACAATACAAGCTAAAATAATACAAAGCACATTCCACATTTGTATTGTTGTTTTGAGATAAGATCTCGATCTCATGTACAGAAGGCTGGTCTTGAACCTGCTATGTAGCCAAGGATGACCCTGAACTCCTGATCCTCCAATCTCCACATCCCAAGTGAAGGAATTAAAGGTGTGTGCTGCCACACCTGACTGTGTATTTTCCAGATTCTCTTGGTTTTTTGTTGGGTTTCTTTTGGGGGGTGGCACTGGAGCATGAACATAGGGTCTCACACATGCTAAGCAAGTATTCTACTGCTGAGCCACATCCCCAGCCCCATACAAAATCAACTTACTAATCAATGGGGAAAATTGCAATTGTCCCATGACCTTTAAAATATTTGGTTGGCACATTAAAAACAGCTGGATATGCTAGCCCATGCCTGTAATCCCAGCACTCAGGAAGTTGAGGCAAGAGGATCTCAAGTTTGAGGGCAGCCTGGGCTACATAGTGAGCTACAAGGCGGTCCTGAGCTACATAGTAAGATCCTGTCTCAAAACAAAAATAAAAACATTAAACGCTATTATAATAAAAATGGAAAAAAAACTCAATCTATTTAGTACAGTATAATTTAAAACATTTAGAAACATTGAGAATGAGAGAGATTTTATTACTTTCTAATTTCTTTGTAAATATTAAAAGCCATCGAATTGGACACTTTATTTTTTATATTTTATTTATTATTTTTATTTTATGTATATGAGTGTATTGTCTGCATGTGTGTAAGTGCACCCATGTCGTGCAATGCCTCAGAGGTCAGAAGAGGGTGTTGGAGCCCCTGGAACTGGAGTTACAGATTGTTGGAAGCCACCATGTGGGTCCTGGGAATCAAACCCAGGTCCTCTGCAAGAACATACAGTGCTCTTGACTGCTGAACCATCTGTCCAGCCCTGAATTGAACACTTTAAATAGGTGAATTATATTATCAATCTCAATAAAGCTGGGGGATGTAGCTCAATGGTAGAGTGTCTTGAGTTCAACCCCTAGTGCGCGTGCACACACACACACACACACACACACACACACACACACACCAAAAAAAGGAAAGAAAAGAAAAGCCACGAAAAAACAACAGAATCAAGAATAATATGAAACTGTCTGGTGGCTCAGGCCTGTAATCTCAGCTGCTTGGGAAAGTGAGGCACGAAGATGACAAGTTCAAAGCCCATCTGGGGTACAGAGTAAGTACAAGGCCAACTAGACAACTTGGCAAGACTCTGTCTCAATTTTTTTAAAGGTTGAGGCTATAACTCAGTGGTAGAGCACTGGCCTAGCATACATGAAGTCCTAGGTTGCACCACCAGTACCCCCCAAAAGAGTGGTTTGAAGAATGTTTACCGTGTTCTTCACATGTACATTACAGTGAGGAGCAACCATCTTTGCTGTGCCTTCCTCAGTTTTCACACTCCTAAGTCTGAATCAGCTGCCAACACTTTATGCTTCATATTTTAGATGTTGTAAAATATGTTGGCGCTCCCACAATGTGAAGCTCTTGTGGCCAGTGTCACTTCATTGTTTTCTTTACAGTCACTAAGTTGGTAAGTTCGCCTCCACCAAGTTCCTCTAGCTGCAGGTCTACAGTTTCTTAAACAATGGTAATGTCAGCCTGTCCACAGCCACCTGCTTCATCCACAACTCAAATTACATTTGATTCCAGTTTCACTTCCAGTGCTACCACCTTTTATTTCTTTGTTAGCCAAGTCCTTTTTTAAGATTTTTAAAAATTATGTGTGTTTGTGTGTGAGTCTGAGCACATGAGCACAGGTATCTATGGAGACCAGAAGAGAGTGTCACATCCCCTAAAGGTGGAGTTACGGGCAGCTGTGAGCCACCTGACATGGGCACTGGGAATTAAACTTGTGTCCTCACCAGGAGCAGTAGTGATGTAAACTGCTGAGCCACCCATCTCTCTAGTCCCCAATTCCCTCTTTTGAGTATATAAACTCATGTGAGTTTATCAATGGGAGGCAGAGGCAACACACCTACGTACTTTGCTGTCTGCATGTGAACTGAATAGCAGATTCACAGTGACCAAACACTGACAGATTTTAAAGAAAACCAACATACTTGTCATTAATATAGTGACTGATGGATTGAAGATGCAGCAGCTGAGTTTGTACTTGATGACAGTGCTTACAGTTATATTGTGGGAACCAAAATTGGCACTCCTTTGTTGAGAGACTGGTATTACTCAACAAAATTGTGGTGACTGGTGTTTGTGCATGCCAAAATGGTGCAGAGAGAGGACTGCCTGTATGTGTTTGTGTGCGTATGTGCATGAGCATGCATGTGAGAGTGGGTGTACATGAAATTCTTAGGGTGTGTGTGGTAGACCCTAAAGGCCTCACTGTTACTTCATTGCCTAGCATTGTAGCTCCTTGAACCTATACCTATCTTTTACATTTATAATGTTAAAGTGATTACACATTCTTATTTTTAACTTTTATTTATTTTTATGTGTATGACTTTTCCCTGAATGTATTTAAGTGCACCCATGTCATGCAATGCCCACAGAGGCCAGAAGAGGGCATTGGATCCCCTGCAACTGGCATTATGACCAGTTGTTAGCCACCCTGTGGGTGCTGGGAATCAAACCCAGGTCCTCTGAAAGAGCAGCCAGTGCTCTTAACTGCTGAGCCATCTCTCTAGCCCCCGTCCCTAATTTTTAATTGCTAAAACTTGATATCATTTTAAATTTGGGAAAAAAGTAAAGTGAGATTTCTACAAATATTCCAAATGAAGACAGTGAAATTCTCCAGAGCACCAGAGATTAGATCATTATTTCTAAAATGGTGTGTGGCAATGCCCTCTCAACTCAAGCAAGTCATAAATGTACACTACCAGATATGTAAACAAATAGTTATTAATTCGTGAGGCCTTCCTGAGTTTAATTTATCTGAGTTATAAGTGCCATAAAAATGTTTATGCATTGGATGAACATTTAGTGAGTGTGATACTATGTGACCTGAAACTGCCTGACTTGGAGTCTGCCTTCC